AGGAAGAAATTAGTGAACAGTTTGTACTCTAATAACAGTACCCTTTTCATCACAACATACCAGAAGAAGGCATTGGAATACTGAAAACTTAAATCATATGCTTTGAAATGACATTGTTCAGGTGTGCAAAGCCTCAAGGGAACTAGAGCTTTTTAATTCACTTATTTATGGCAGTCTTTCATTTGGGCAGACCTTCTCTGTGTATCTATGTGGGAACTAAGTTCTTTACTTCTATCATGTGAGATCCTAGGATAGAACTCAGGATTTTGGGCTTGGCAGCAACCACCTTTACCCACAGAACCATCTTGGTGGCCCTCTCTTTTTGAAATAACATTTTGTAATCTACTTTGCTTATGCTTTGTGATAGCTCTGTAGACTGTTATAGAGCGATGCAGCTTCCTTAACACAGGTGTAAGTGCATTTCAACTAGCTTTGCTGTCTTACCCGACTTGCAGGCACTCATGAGAACTGAATATCATTTTTATCCCCTCTAAGAATAGAAACAAGAAATAATTTATTTAGTGCATCATTTCCCCGCTTGTTTGCTCGAACACTGAACTAAGAAGTACCTGAAAGGCAAAATTCACTTATAAGAAGAATGCCACTTCACCAAAGAAAGATTCGTGGTGTTGTGGAATGGTTTCTGTATTTACTGCGTGGTTTTGCTAATGATCATGTCTTCCCAGCTCCCCAGTGTTCACATAGCAGCTGGAGAGTGAAATGGCAAACTTGGTAAACAGACTTTCTTCCCAGGCAACAGCAGCTGGGCCCTTGCCTGTCTGTCTCTGGCTTCTTTCCTGGTGCCACTTTAAACTGCCAGGAAAAATTGAGGGCCACAGCTGCCTGTGTGCCTTCATATTCTCCATGAGTCGTTGTTATTCACAAATATTTCTTAGGATAGAGAACCCACAGAGTACCCAGTCACTCAAAAGACTCATGTTGCACAGACTGCACACCTGGCTGAGGAGTCCTGAGCAGGAGTAATGACTTGGCAATCAGCGGGTGCAGGCTCTGAGGAAGAGGCATTGCCATCTTGTCACCATTTCCCCACAGGATTGGAGGGAAACCCACTGGGCAAGCAGGTTTAAAGCACTGAGGCTTCAGCTTGTTAGTGTTGACCTGGGTTTTATAGTAACTACATGATACAGAGTACCAATGAATAGAGTGTTAAAAGAAATAAGAATCGCCTTCTGTGATGTTAACATTGATAACTGTGTTATTTTCTGCATCCCCCACATGCCTACACTACAGGGTAGAGTACAAAGTCCTCATAGGTGTTTAATCTACAACTCTGAAGGAAATGCACTCCAGGTGAACACTTGGGAAATCCCTGGGCTTTAGTTGAGGGGAAGTCACAAAATCCTCCACTTGCACGCATGCTGAGGTTTCCTCTTGCTTCACCATTCTGTCATTTTGTTCATCGAAAACATTGGACACTTCTGAGAAAGACAGATATTTTGCTTCTCCAGAAATGCAAAAATCTTTCAAAGCACAAGCTAAATGTTTTGACTTTGTGTTTAAATTTTTATGGGATTTATTTTGCAGCTTCTAAATTAAACCAGGATACACAATTAAGACTGGTGGAGTGGTTCATGCCAGCAATATGTTTTTATTCATACATTTTACTTAATGTTTTATTTATCAGCATATGTCACTAGTTCCATAAAATGTATTCTGATAATGTTAATCATATTTACTTCAATTACTAAACTTAGATGTATTTAAAACCAATTATTTGATGTGAAATCTAGAATTTAAACTATGTACTGTCTCTTCACTTACTGAACTGTTGGCTCCATGTGGTGACTAGCTCTTGTTCACTCTGTTTAAGGTTGGCACAAAGCAGAAAACCAAAAATTAACAAATAAATGGACTAGTGAATGATCAAATTATCAGTTGCCCATTAACCTTCTGTGTCACTAGATTTACAATTTCTTCTTTCCCTTTGTCAAAATTGGTTATTTTCTAACCTGTAATAGGTAGGTATGCAGAGAACCAGTGTTTCTTTTCCAATCTTCCTTCCCCTTCCAAGATTTCTTCTGTTTTCTGAATTAATTCTTGCATGCATAACTCAATCAATATGCAGCTATTGAATGGCTTTTAAAAGAAATAGTTGAGAGCCCTTCCATAGAGTCGATAATAAAAAGAAAATGGCAATAAACCATATTATCAATTCACATTGCAGTAAAGTCAATGTCATTAAGTGGTTAAATACTAAGTTGCATAACGAAGCCTTCCAGAAGAAGACTGATTAAAGTATTAATGATATGATTTCTCTGTCCCACTACTATAAATGGCTTTCCCTTTTTGCCTTTCCACTGTCCTAATTTTCTATAACTAGTATCATATTAATGATGACAAAGCACGTGAATATATTTTATAGAGACAGCACTATACCGTGAAACATGAAATGTAATATAAGCAATACCACTACATTCAAACACAGGTACCAAAATACTAATCTAATGAATAGTTAAACATTTGCAGAATCACAGGTCTGCATGTTCCAAGTTGTGTGGTCAGCATGGATTCATGGCTTGGTTTAAAAAACAATGGTTAGCTTTAATAACGATACAGTTACAAACATTCACCGATCAGCTACGATGAACAGCATAACCAGAGGAGCAGGTGATTTGAAGAAAATTATTTTAGCAGATTCTGGCAGTCAATTCAACAAAAAGGAAAAGGACAAAGATTAGAATAGACATGGAGCCTGCAGATTGATTTCTCTTCCATTTTATGTGGAAAAATGAGTTATTCCTAAAACTATGGATGTTTGCTCTTGGCAAAGTCATTTTACCCTCTTAAGCCTCATACTTTCCCTGTTAGATACGAGGGTATAGAATTAAATATAGGCCAAAATATTCTCGATAGCTCCAATATTCTATAAATATTTGCCTACAGCACATTTCATAAACAATCAGGTTTATAAGCACTGGTTATTAATCAAGGAGACTAATTCAAAAATGTAAACTAAACACTAGTTTTCTTCTGGATTTTATAGAGTCATTTTGCTACCATGCAGGTGTTGTCGTTAATTAGCTTCAGTCATGTCCATCACATTGACATGACATAGCATGCTGCTAATACCCTTAGTAAAAGTTATTTCTCAACATCCTCTTTTTTTCATGATGTCAGGAAACAAACAGTTTACTAAAAGATTCAAACATGTGTTGGCTTCAGGCAGTGGTGGCCTGATGCCTGGCTGGTCAACCGAGATTTGAGGCATGTCACTTTTCAGCTCTTTAAGGAATTTGTTCATGACCTTGGGTAAGAGCCCCACGTTCTTCTAGGAAAATCAGACACATTAAAACAACTTACAGCTTTCCAACTAAATTCAAAGGTCTTATGCATGCTCAATAACTACAGGGTGAAATGAGGATGCCATGTCTGGAGTCTGCCTTAAATGGAATTTTACTCTAAGTTAGAAATGTCCATAAATATTTACCCTGCATTTTGAACTTTTTCCAGGAAATATTGATAACATGCCTTTTCTTTGAAAGGGACTTGGATTACTTAACCTAGATTTTAAGAAATTTATGAGTCTTGTAGGGTAGAATAATCATACACAGATTGAGCACTAATACAAAACAGAAAGATAAATGTCAAAGATATGGGTGAAAGAAAACAATCAAGTCCACATGTTCTGTCAGGGACATATGTATAGAAAGCTTATATAGTTCATGTCATTGAAGGCTGATGGACACCTGAATACAAGAACCAAGGTGGAAGGAGACAGCTTTCTTGATGGAAGAAATAGAAAGAACAGTTTTGCAGAGGTAGGGTTTGGGGCATCTAGGTTGTATTTGGAGAAGAGAAGAGTAAAATATGATAGTAATTCCCACTCCAGGCAGGAGAGCCATGGCAGAAAGATGGAAATAATGGATAAAATCTGGATTGCAAATGCCTTGAATAGCCACATAAGGAAACCACACTTTACTATATTGATAAAAGAGAGACATTTAGGTCTTTGACACATTATCTTACTGATCTACACTCAGCTATCCCTATCAGAGGGGCCAATGGTAATTCTCATCCTGTTGTGGAAGCATTATAATTTCTCATTCAACAAGTGAACAAGATTACAAACTGTTTTTCCACATATTGTGTAGTGAATTCAAATTCAACTCTTACATGTCTGAGAATCCGCAAGGGCAGATTCCCTTTGTCATTCTAGCATTTAAGTGCTGTCTATTGTTGGAAGGAAATGCTCCTACAAAATCCTACCTTGAAGGTAGCAATTATGATGACATAGGAACCTTTCTGGGCTAAAAGGGAGAATTGGTTCTGCTGACTGTATCTAGTAGTTTTGAGTCTCTCATGAGAGATCAAACCCAGCCTTCTAGACACTCATGTTCAGCCATGGCCTCTGTACATACTCTGTTTCTCCCGGTATTGTCATTAAATCTAAATCCTGTATAGGACAGAGCAGCATCAAGTCAATCTTACTGTGGACATATGGGTATGCATTTATGCAAAAATGAATGAATATATACATGTTATACACAATGGCAGCATCACATTGTATCTCATTTTTATATCTCATTTTTGCAGTGGAAGTTGTATTTTCTGTATATTTTATGAGCATTTTGAGAACAGATCTACTTTACTGTTTTATATGCACTGCCATTTTTCAACGAATATTTATTTATTAATTTAATCAAGCCCTTCTGTCTCCAGCATAGTCTGGATTTCCTCATAGGACAAGAGAACAGCTGGTTAACATATTTGGTACAAGTGGACAGGAATGTACAGCTTTTATTTTCCCTTCAGTCTCTACAGGGAAAATGGCTTGTTTGTTTAAGAGCTTCAGAGATAAGAGGTCTGACCTCATCATCTGAAAGTAATCTATCAACATGGACATGAGTGGATGTGATGCACGTGACATCAACCAGACTGACACTGACAAATCATGTGCCAAACATTAAATCCAGGTGGTGTTTGCACACTCATATAACACATCCACTAGCCTGGCTTTCATGGATGAATTTGGCACTCACCTCAATGAAGAAGATGCTGGCTGCTGATGTTGGGTGGTGATACATATAAACTGTCACCAGGATGGCCGCTGCTATAATGAGGACCAGGATGAGGATTCCAACGATGAGGCCGGCATGGAGGGTTCCTCCTTTCTTCTCAGCTGCACTGTCATCTGTGGAGGCTGAAAGAAGATCCCATCTGTCAGGCTCTTAATATGTGTACCCTTAAACTCAAATTTTCATTTGTGGAAAATTCTTGTATATAAGCAAATAACACTAAATCTTCATTGCATCAGTTCCGGCTTGTATGTGTCCACACAACTCATGTCTGGAGTTATTTAAACAACAAAATCCATGATATTCATGACTAAAAAATGAATTTAATGTTTTTAGTGATGCTGGGAATGAAATTGTGCATGTTAGGCAAGCACTCTACTGCTTAGCTACATCTGCAGCCCCTGCAGCAGAGTATCAAACTCTAGTTTAGTAAACACAAATAGTAGCCGTGTGTGTGTGTGTGTGCGCGCGCGCATGTTTGTGGGTGTATATGATCTTATATGCTTTAATTGCTCTCAACCTTGTTTTTGAGAAAGTACTTCTTGCTTTAACTGAAGCACACTAGTTGTATAGACTAGCTGGGCATGCCAGAACTACAAGCACAGTCTAATCTTTTTACGTGAGTGATGGCGATTTGAACATAATACTAAACCCTCTCAACAATAATCACAATAACCACCCGAATTGTGAGAAAATCTCAGATTCCGTTTAACTGTACTCCCCTTCCCCACCTCTCTAAACTGACATTGTTATTACCAAAAAATGACTGCTTTTCAAAAAACTTTCTCATATTCTGTGTGGAATTTTACATGGATGAATACTACTTTTTTTTTTCATTTGGCAACACAAACCTTTTCAGAAACTCTATGAATGAAACTTAAAGCACAATTCTCAAAATCTGTTTTGAATGAAAAATCTTTAGAAGCATAGCAATTGGAGGCAAAATGACTCTTGGATAGTTTTGTCACTTTCTAAAGAGAAGACTTTAGCAAATGAAGATTCCAGTATGTCACAGCCTGGTATCATTTTCTCTAAATTCTAACACGGTGTGTACCAGTTTTCTGAGTTAGCAAGTGAAGGAATTTAATTTCCAGTGTCATAACTATTCAATCCCGTCAATAAAGCAATCAAATAATCTATGACATGTTATAAGATTCTGAAACCTTTGATGACTGTTTTGTCATTTGGAGATCATCCTACATTATATATCACAGGTAACTGCATGCTACCTGTGTGTAATGTAATGTGACTGGTACTTTTGAATCATCAGCTAATTCTTAAGATGGAAAGATATTATATAAAAGTGGTTCTATAATCCTTGTATTAGCAACTCTTCTCTGTGTTATTCTTGGCCCTTGCTTCTATTTTTTAAATATATTTTCTATTAAATGACCTAATATGCATTGGGGTTTTTTGTTTGTCTTTTGCTTTCAGAATTTATTAGTAAAATATAGAAATGGTGTCCTATCTGGATGTGTGGTCATAATTATAGATAAAGCAAAGAAACCTCATAAAATACTTCACACTCTCTCTTTAATTCTCCTTTCTCTGTTCTTCCTTTCTCTCTTCAGTGGTAGGTCCTAAAATTGGAACTTAATCCTAATCCTAGATCTCTCTTCATTTCCCATCATCATTGTTTACTCTTTGCTTGACCCTTGTTGGTATTCCATGACCCTTCTTTAAATACTAATACTCAAAATCCCAGAGAATTATTTCATTACACAAATTAACTAGTAAAGAATACAAATGTAAAGGGTAATTCATTATGTAAAGTTGCTTTGCAATATACATATACATGTCTGTTGTCTTGCATATATCCAATCAATAAATCTAAGAGGTGGGCATTATTATTACTGCCTTTTAGTAGGTGACATAACTGAGGCACCAGGAAATTAAGAAATCTGCTAAAGCTGCAAAGTTACTAAGTTAGAGCTGGGCTCAAACATAGCAGGCTGGCTGTGAACATCAACTCTGATTATCATTTCCTCAGTTAACACTGAGCTCTTAACACTTCACTTCCTCCTTATTTGACATCATAAGTCTGGCATATAATTCTGGAAAAAAAATCTGGTAATTTTAAGTAAGGGAAAATAATTTAAAAGACAGCTCAAAATTTAGTTTGGTGACATTTACAAAGGTGGTGGTTGTGCTTCTCCTATGACTTTTCCTGGCTCAGGCCACTCTCTCCTGTGACTTCTCCTGGCTCAGTCCAGTGCCTCTTCTGTGACTTCTGGCTCAGGCCAGCGTTGTCATCAGAGGCACATTTTTAAGCTTAAGGAAAGAGCAAGTTGAGAGTAACTAAGGGAGAAAACTGAGACTAATAAAGGCCATTGGAAACTCGTGACAGCCACCAGAAGGACATCCATAAAAGTGGAGTAAGGCTTTAGGAAGTGACTTCATCTCCCTTGTCCTCAGTTGCCCAGTCTGCACTAGAATGTTAATGACAATATTACACCACAGAATTCCTAGTAAATCTTAACATCTACATACATAGGTCTTCAAGGGAGTATGTGGCATGTAGTAAGCACTTATTTAATGCTAAGCTGTGATATTAATACTTTAATTTTTATATGAAGCAGATTGAGGGAAATTGTAGAGACAGATTCCTAACACCATAAAACTGGATATTTGGCTTCTTTACTAAGTATACATCATGACTGAATCTTATGAACTTGACATATTATTTCCAATATTATGGCATATTAATTTCATAAGAAAACAGTATTGATTTAAAACATTAAAATATAGTAAAAGTGGACACTTAAGTCTTATAAAAATCTTTAATGTTTCTCTGACGACCAGGTATAATTTCACCCCTCCCTCCCACCATCTCTTGCAGCAACCCTCCCTTATAATGTTTTTCTGAATCCTTCTATCTCTGCATCCTCCCATTTCTCTTTCCATCCCTTTGCTGCTGACCTTTTCTCTCCCTTTACTATTGATGCCCCAGCCAGCCAACACCTGTCCTATTGTATCTCTATGGGGTGCACATTCTCATGCACACAGTACTAAGTTTGAGCCTCACATGTCTGATGTGTGCAGGAAATCAAAGGAAATATGAAGTACTGACTTGACATCAGGCTATGGCTTCTTTTTTGGACCAGAATATGTATTCTATTTAGTACCATTCCAGTCAGAACTAAAACCATCATGAAATTGCAGGACATAAATTTCCAATCTTTGGATTATAAAATAAAAACCAAATTTGCATATTCAAGATTGTAAACTTTGTTTAGTTCCCTTCTTAAGACATAAAGGTCAGCTCTCACTATCATTACTCAGATATGTTAGACATACAAATTTAAGTTATGTTATCACTGTCTGAAGAATACATTTACATTTTTTTGATGTTTAGACTCCTGGTCATGTCTGGTATTCTTTGTGTAGAGTCTGATTTGTTGTTAGGTAAATAATCATTTCACAATCTTTCAGATGATGATGATGGTAATAAAAATAAGCCATTTTCATAGTTTCTCAAAGATTGGTAGCCATACACAAATATTTACTGACATGTGAATGTCAAGTGACCCTGATATGTCAAATAATTTGCTGTCATAAGAACAAACGATTTAAGGAGAAATGTAACACTTAATCTAAAATATTACAAAACATGTTAATGCTAATTTCAGAATGATTCCCAGTGATCAACAATGATGAGAGGCAAAAGGCACATGTATTTTTTGGACAACATATTTTTCTACCCCAAGTAATTTATCTGTTATTATTTCTTCTCACATGATGCCACAAATACCATGAAAAGCTCCATTGTTCCAGCTGTTTTGTAAGGACTTTATGAATCAGAAAACAAGTTGTTATTGGGATGTTAAAGGTTGTTGAATTGGAACATCTGCATCGATATTTTGGATTCTAAATTCTCTATTTGATGTCCAATTTATCATCACAACTCAAGCACTGCAATAGGATATAGATGTGGCTATCTGTGGACAACACACAGGGGTCATCTGTGTCTAAAATTATGAGCATCTCAATACCAAACTGAAATGAAAAACAAAACAAAACAAAATATGAAAGCCAGTCCTTGGTAACAGCTATCATTGAGAGTTAATTCATGCACTCAGAATTAACTCTCCCCAGAAAAGACAATGAACAAAAGTGTCAGTTTCAGAAACCAATCAGTGCTTGTCTTTTAAATTGGCAGAGAGAAGCAAGCTAAAAACAACACATGCACAGAAGACACATGACTCAGGTGTAGAATTTTTGTTCTGTTTCTTAGAGTCTGTAAAGGGGAATGTCCAAGCATGGTCACAGGAGTCTGGTGACTGCCCCCAAAATTTGTCTGCTTTTCTTAGAAATGCCATATGTTTTTTTTAAAATTCATATCCCCAAAGAATGAAAACCAAGCATCTAACAATTCAATATATACCAGCTAATTCAAATCTCCTATCTTGTCTTCAGCTGTAAATTGAGTAGCAAACTAAAGGGATTAATGATGAAAAGCAGTGAGACATCATAAAATCAGATCTCCAGACCAAAGAAGTACTAGAAACAAACACTAAAAGTCCACACAGTGGAGGCACTTTTGAAACGTGTTTAAAGCATAAGCGAAGCATAGAAAATGAACAATATCAAAGATGACACACTTTCCTGTGACACTCTGAGTGACCCACGGAGGGCTTGGAGCTTTTTAATTCACAGAATAATGATCAGCATTCAGACACAGACAGGACTAACAGTTGTCACATCTGTCAAAGCGATTTGTCATTGTTGGCTGAGTTTTGTCACCACAACAGTCAACACAACAGATTTCTAAAAGCAGAAAATATCCAAGGCTTTATGTGAACTGATTCATTTACTCTGTTCCAGGAAACATTTATGACTAAATGAGCTGATAGGAGGAAAAATGGAAGAAATAAAGATTGGAAAAAGAGTGAAAGGAGAGATTTATGTTTCTTCCAAGTAGAGTGGATTTTCAAACTCTGTGACTCACACTTCTTTATATGAGTTTTCTCAGAATTTATGTGTGTGTGGCATTGATATTCTGTATTTAGAATTAGGCATTTGTAATATGATAAAATATTTTAAAACATTGCTAAAAAGATGAGTGGCAATTATCACCAGTCCCTAAAGTCTGAGAATAAAGAAAAAGCAAAAATTCTTGCCTGAA